CTACAGACAAAGTTTGGTGATTTCAGTAGGAAATGATGTTCAAGGGAATTTCTATTTTTAGCTTTGGAGGCCCCTAAAAGGGGCATATCAAATTAATATGAGCAAACGTCATAAAAGACTACCAAAGAATGCTACAGACAAAGTTTGGTGATCATCCATCAATACGTGCTGTAAAAGAAGACATTTAAAGGTATTTCTATGTTAAGCTCAAGCGGCCCCTACAAGGGGCCACTGAAATTAATATGAGCAAACTTGATAAAAACACTACCCAAGAAAGCTACAGACAAAGTTTGGTGATCGTTCATCTATTAGTTCTGTAGAAGAAAATGTCTAAAGGTTTTTCTATTTTTAGCTCTAAAGACCCCTAAAAGGGGCCAATGAAATTAATATAAGCAAACTTGATAGACTACCTAAGAATGCTACAAAGTTTGGTGATCATCCATCAAGAAGTTCTATACGAGAAGACGTTTAAAAGTATTTCTATTTTTAGCTAAAGCGGCCCCTAAAAGGGGACAATCAAATTAATATGAGCAAACTTGATAAAAGACTACCCAAGAATGCTACAGACAAAGTTTAGTGATCATCCATCTTTTAGTTCTGTAGTAGAAGTTGTTTAAAGATTTTTCTATTGTATGCTCTGTTGACCCCTAAAAGGAGCCAATTGAAATGACATGATCAAATTTAAATGTGACTGTCACAAGGATGCTACAGACCAACTTTTAGGTAAATCTGCCCTGCAGTTTCAGAGAAGAAGACGATTGTTGACGCATGACGACGGACGCCGGAGTATCCCCCTTTGATACTTATAGCTCACCCTGAGCCTTCGGCTCTGGTGAGCTAAAAACACGGCGAGGCAAGGCCAATCTCTAAAAAACTTATGATCAAACAAGACAATAAAATCGCCACAAAATTTTAAGACCTCAAAATGAAAAATTTTACAATCTTAAGTTACAGTACAAACAACAAACACTCAACCAAAAATGATCACAACAAAGCATCTTATCAATTTCGCGAAAAAATTTAACCAAAACAAACAATAATTACAGATATCTTCAAAACCAAGGCATCAACTATGAAAGTCTTGGCATGACAAAATCACCCACTTCAACTTAACTACATGTATCATTAATTAAATATATCTGACCAAACAAATAGAAATCAACAACCAAATATAACTCAACAACCAAATAAAACTATTCACAACATATAAACACAGATCAGTTCAAATCACCACAATTAATTTTAAAAAATACAATTTATCCACAAAATTTCCTTCAGAACAACAATTTGCTCTTCTATAAAAAATAAACGCTACTTACTTCGAGAGTGTCCTTCTTCTCGCATGATCATAAAACATTTGTTATAAGAGTTAATATTTACTCTACATCTCAAACTGAACTAAATTAGGTGACATCAATTTCATTGGCAAGTTGATCTGAATTACATACCCTTGAATGGGCATAAAGCTTCTTAACTCGTTGTAAACATATAAATCCACGGATAAAACCGTATGATAAATCTGACAGAGCCTTTGATACAAAAAAAAATATATTGTCATATATATATTCATTTCCTGGTGTGCAGAAATACAATAGACGAGTAATGTATAACTAAAATACAGAAAGTTTGAGAACACGAAAATCAAATAAAATCGAGTTTCGAGCATACTTCACGCTTGACGTCGTATGCTGGAACAAATATGAAACATACAACAAAGGTTGGAAGAAATGTTGTGTTTAACGTTACTCTTTAAAATTTCAAACATCATTAAGTTAGAAAAACAAAATAAACTATATATTTTATGGAAGGATAACGACACGTGTGGTAGACGCTTGAACCTCAATACTTCAATGAACATTAAAAGCAATTTCTCACATATAACAAACCTGTTTTCATTTTTCTTAAATCCTGTCATTTGTCATATTACATACATCATATCCTTGAATCATTTTCCTATACAGGATTAACAAAACATTACTTACTTACTTTGAAAATTATTGATACCACAGTTCTGTATTTCGCCAGCAAACTCTTCTGTTCTCCTACAAATACAAGCTGTCAGTTTAAAACAAAATAATGTCTATTTTCATATAATGTGTAATCAATCATCCCTTCAAGAATAAGCCATGAACAAATAACTCTGTTTCGCATTCCGATTACATTGCGCATGTCTTAAATTTTACTTCACCATATATGGATAAAATATAAAATGTTTTATGCAAGTCTCAAGGCTATTAGAAATAATTTTTTGTTTCAGGACAAATACATGATATAAAGCTTTGTTCTGATTTTTTTTTATCCTAATACGTGGCCTTAATTCCTTCAATAAAAATTAAAGATTAAATTAGCTCATTTTTCAACGGATTAGAAGATAGAAATAAATATCTTGAAAAAAGTCATCATTCGTAAGCAGAATTACATGAAAACTACAGACTCTGTTGGATAAAGTCTGTACATGAGGAATTATTGAAAAAGTGCAGCATCCCTCACGCCCCTAGCACCGGCTTGAGCGGAACTCAATTCTCAACGCCATAAAAGTGCTGGACTCAATGATCCCAAAGGACCAGAAAAATACAACAACTCTTTCGCGCATGTTATGGAAAAGATAGATAAAAAGCTTGAATTTTCATTCGTTGGCTCTGATAAGATTAATGACGTAATCAAAGGGATGTGCGAATGCTTTACTTTACGCATTTCCTATCTTCGGAGTTTCTCATACACATCAGCAAAAACTTCGAATAACATTGCTGTCTTTAATTCTAATTTTCAAATGAACAATTGGCCTGCATACAATCATTAAAAGCAGCAAATTAATACATAACTGTTACAAAGATTTTAGCTAAAATAGATCGAAGGATGAATACTGTAGCAACATTGTGGCCAAATATCGCACTGGATATATCCCATGTCTTTCTCATTTAATGCCCTAATTCTTTTATTGTCCGCATCTAATACCTACAATTTATTTTACATAAATGTATTTCAATAAAAGGCATGTTAAGACAGTAAACAAATAACAGTAAGCATGCAGCCTTGAACTTATAAGCGCCTTAACAACTGTGTTATTTAATAAACAATGACCATGCATTGTCAGGTGATTTTTCAAAATCATTGCCAAATATGGATATTTGCAAAATACATTATCATTTCAGATAAAAGAGCAACATAAACGCCGTCTTTATTTATGCAAAAAACAAAAATACATTAGACTATTCTTTGTCCGTGTAGGAGGATCATGGGAGATTCAAGTTCGAAACCTAGTAAGTGATTAATTTCATAGAAGAGTTAACTTGATTAATGTTTACTTACTTTAAATTCTACAAAATAACACAAGGTACTGTGCGTTTAAGATAATTATTTAGTGACGCGGTGGTCAAGTCCGGTGTACAACAGTTATCATATTGTGTTTAATATCTTAAGTCAATCAGGCTTGCCATATAAATTAAAATATCGACAAATTTACCAACTGGCGGCGTAACACAGTAGGTAAAGTTGTGTGGTTAATTTTTAGTTACATATCAATGCAAGAGAGCCAGGTTCGGTCCCAATTTTTTTTGTAAAATTATCAATCGATTAAGAATTTCTTTTTTTCTTGTAAAGATTATTAGCGCTGTGTTATTTTCTATTAACTTCTCATTTCACTTTTGTTTTTAAATGTTGCTATATCTAGCAAGTTGGTGCAACCTGATACAGAATGCATACATGTACATAAATTGTTTCAACTATAGTTAAGTTGGCACGAAAAACTTATGCACTGCAAAAGTACTACTAATATATTTTACACACTACACAGAATAAAAATTATTATTTCCGGTATATATAAATTATTGGAAATTATAACAAAACTGCCTTTATATTCCAATTAATTTGCATATCATGTAAAAATAAAAATAGGGAAAGAAAAGGGAAAAAAAGGTTTGACAACTTGTGTGGCTCGAACTCATGATACAATTTAATTTGTATGGCATCCTATAGTGACTTAACCAACTTTGCCATCGAGACTTTTCAAATTCTAGTTCTGATTTTGAATCATATTCACTTCTAAATACCCTGTTTTACCTATTCAGACAAAGATTGTAAACTTTTGTGTACACAAAAATTGCAACGTCACTCTCACATTATCATAGCGGCACAGTATACTTTTGTTCTGTTCGTATCCATGTTTGTCTCTGTATATTTATATATTATTGTCCATGTCCCTTATTGTTTTCCGTAGTTATTTCTTTAATTTATACACTTATAGCTCATATCCCATAGCCGTTACCTAAACATAATAGTACTTTATAACCTTTTCAACTTCTTAGATTATCTTTTTTTGTTATTTTTTTCAATTTCCCGCTAATCTACACAACTCATTCGCACTTGAATTGAGAAATTGTTGGCACAGGCCACGGTTTTGTTGAAGTGAACAATACATTTTTAAGGAGCGCATACTTTTCTTTTTTCAGGTAAATAGACTTTTGCAGATGATACCATTATTTTTCATATATATTTTGCCATTTTTCGATTTTGTTATTTTCATATTTTGCACTTAAATTGAGAAATTGTTGGCGCAGGCCACGGTTTCATGGAGTGAACAATAAATTTTAAGTAGCGCATATTCAAGGTCAGAACTTACAGCAGATTAAACGAGCCCCTTTGTTTCGTTTGAGCTGCGAAAATTGGCGCCCAACGGGGGCCCTTGGTTGAAGAGTTTATCGCTGTAGTTTGGGTGCAAGTTCACTGAAGTAAGATGGCTTCCCCGAGGAGTGTCGGTAAACATGTATCGCGAAGAATGTAAACAAATGGTTTAACACATACACTTTACAAATCTTATAAGTGTGCACCTTTTATGTTCTTATAACTTTTTCGTTTATCAATATATTTTTATAAAACTTTGTGTTCTGACTATTGGCTGCATTTCCACACATGTCATGTGCTCAAGCATGTAAATTTTAATTATGAGGTGCGTTCAACCATAAACGAACGAAATTCACACAATGCACGAAAAAAATGTGAGAATGGGTGAAATGATATTCTCGGATATGATAGAGATCGACATATCAGAAAAACACCTCATGGATAGATTATCGTTACAACAGCGTGACATAACCCTAGGATTTCTCAACGCTGGTGTACACCAAACAGAGGTTGGTAACACAATTTATTTGTTTAAATGATTATTTTAATTCCTTTGCATTGTTAAATCCGAAAATCGTTTAAATTTAGTTTCTATCAAAGACAAACATAAAATGCATATTTTTATTTAGTAATTAATTGTACGTATCATTTGTAGGTTGCGCCTGACATAGATGTACACCAAACTACATAAGAAGGCTAATTATTTAGTACAGAGCAATCTCTTTGGTTACCTTCCTCACCAACCCCAAAAATTATCTATGTAAGATCTATGTGACGACGCTGCCGGGCTGTTATACACAGTCGGTGTGGGCACACACGGTATAAGGACATCCTTTTGCAACATCGACTTTCGACACGCATTCACATTTTTTAGAAATAAAATCTTAAATTCTTATCTTGTATAAACAAGAGCCACCGCCGGGCGGGGGCAACGCTCGACTTTTTACTTTCTCTAAAAGCAAACAAAGAAATGTTTGAACAAAATCTTTAAATATACTAGAAAATTCTATAAATAGAAACACGCAATTCTATAAATAGAAACACGCACTTCTATAAATAGAAACACGCAATTCTATAAATAGAAAATTCTATAAATAGATACACGTGTTGGTGACACGTGGTGACACGTAGTGGTGGTGACACGTGGTGGTGGGGACACATGGTGGTGACACGTGGTGGTGGGGACACATGGTGGTGAATCGTGGCAATGACATGTGGTGGTGGTGACACGTGCTTGTAGTGGTAACAGTGACACGTGGTGGTGACATATTGTGTCACATGGTGGTGACATGTGGTGGTGACACGAGGTGGTTGCACATGGCGGTGATAAGTGGTGGTGGTGATACGTGGTGACATGTGGTGGTGGTGATATGTGGTGTCTTGTGGTGGTGTCACGTGGTAGTGGTGTCACCTCGTGGTGACACGTGGTGATGTCACGTGGTGTAACGTGGTGGTCTCACGTGGTGGTGACATGTGGTGGTGTCACGTGATATCACGTGGTGGTGACTTGTTGTGGTATCACGTGGTAGTGTCATGTGGTGTTACGTGGTGATGTCACGTGGTATCATGTGGAAGTCTCACGTGGTGTTGACACGTGATGTCAATTGGTGGTGTCACGTGGTGACATGTGGTGGTATCATGTGGTGGTGACACGTGATTTCAATTGATAGTGTCATGCCTTGACATGTGGTGGTATCACGTGGTAGTGACACATGGTGGTGACATGTTGTGGTGTCACGTGGTATCACGTAATGGTATCACGTAATGGTATCACGTGGTTGTATCACGTGTAGGTGTCACATGGTGGTGTCACGTGGTGATGTCACGTTGTATCATGTGGTGGTGTCATGTGGCGTTTTGGTGTCACGTGGTGGTGTCACGTAGTGGTGACACGTGGTGGTGACATGTGGTTGTGACATTTGGTGGTGGTGTCACGTGGTGGTGACACGTGGTGCTGGTGACACGTGGTGGTGGTGACACGTGTTGTTATTGTTGATGATGATAATTACACACACACACACACACACACACACACCAAAAAATATATATGGTCATTTAATGCAAAAATCTGAGAAAATTCAGCAATTTAACCCTTAAGGTCAAGGTCATAAAAGAGCCCAAGTGTTTGATAAACAACAAGGTCTTGTCCTTAAGTATGTTCTGTATATGTGAAGTTGATCCCTTCAATAATAGCAAATTACAGCCAGTTACAGCCAAAACAATTAAAATTTCTATAATTCGAACTTCAAAGTCAAGGCCATTAATGAGTGATGGTCAAGGTCTGTCTGGTTTTTAAGGGTTATCCTTGAAGATTATTATGTTCAAGTTTAAAGACAATCCATTCAAAAATAACAAAGTTACAGCCAATAATAGCCTAAAAAATGAAAATTTCAATAATTTGACCTTCAAAGTCAAGGCCATTTATGAGTGAAGGTCAAGGTCTGTCTTGTTTTTAAGGGTTATCCTTGAAGATTATTATGTTCAAGTTTAAAGACAATCCATTCAAAAATAATAAAGTTACAGCCAATAATAGCCAAAAAAATGAAAATTTTAATAATTTGACCTTCAAAGTCAAGGTCATTTATAAGTGAAGGTCAATGTCTGTCTGGTTATTTTTAAGGGATATCCTTGAAGATTATGTTCAAGTTTGAAGACAATCCATTCAAAAATAACAAAGTTACAGCCAATAACAGCATGAACAAGCAAAATTTGGACTTTTAACCTTGAATGTCAAAGTCCTTTATGGGTGAAGGTCAATGTTAGTGTAGTCTACTGAAAGGTCTTGTCCCAAGGGTTGTTGTGGCCAAGTATGAAGACAATACACCAAGAAATATAAAAGTTATGATCCAGGTACAAGTTTGCGGACGGGAACGGCAGCGGGAACGGCAACGCCGCCGCGACTATAGCAATTTTCAAACAAAAAGTCGAGCTAAAAATACTAAATAAAAATGATAACATTTCTCTTTTATGTATTTCATGATTGGGCAAATATTGATACACCTATGAAACCATTTATACATGCACACTTATAAGATTTGTTAAGTGTATTTTACAAATTTTGGAGTATAAATTAGGCCTAGACTTGTTATATTAATATTATTTGGATCTAGATCGCCATTTGTCATTGTAAAACATGGTTCATCGAAAATTATAGATATCCATGGTTGGAATGTTCTTCTTTCGTTTTCAACGGAATGAAATGTGAAAAGTGAATGGAACAGTTAAATGTGTTATTCAGTGGTTTGTGACTATTGATATTTGATATTCAAATAATAGACTTTCAAATTTAATAAGTTCGGTAACAGTGATGTTTTTTACTCTATATAATAAGCATTGTTGTTGTTGTTTTCTAAATGTAATACATGTAGAATTTTGACATTGTTTACATTAATATTTGTTTTGTTTTGTACTTGTAATAAAAGTAATAATTTGAACCATATTTCTTACTTGTTATTGTAATGTTCAGTCTTTTATATAACAAGTGCCCACCCGCTGATGCACTAGGTGTTGTGACTACAGGTGTTGGATAGTCTCACGCATGCATGGTTGACAGATGATCTCCTGTTGAAATTTTGAAGGTGGTTGTTGAGACTTTATACAAACACTTAATTAACATACATCCTTATATCCTATAAGTCCTGTCTAGTTGTCAATATTAATTTAAACATGTCCCTATTAATTTAAGTGTCACCTGGTCCATTATAAGTCCAAACTCTGTCATCAGTCACCAGATTAAAATTGATGAACACTGAGGTAATTATCAATAGCTCTTCCTTCAGCTGTAATAACAAAGTAAATACAAGTGTCCTATTGCTCAATAGTATGAACAGCGAAACTGTAGAACATTCCTTAGTATAACCTGTCTTCGTTTTGTTGAAGTCACCGAGGTATTATATGATTATCTCCCTTAACTTTGTGTTAAATTTCCATGGAGGTGAACATAAGTGCTGAATTATAATTCATTATGTTTGAGGTGAACATAAGTGCTGAATTATAATTCATTATGTTTGAATATATATATTAAATTTGTCTATTATAAGCCAGGTTATATTTATGAACACGTAAATCCGAAACACAAGGGTGTATCATTTTTGTACCAATATACCAGTAGAACTTCTATGAGTCGAACTTCGATTAGTCGATTTTCACGTGTGTCGAAGTAAAATGAAAGTCCCGATTTTTCCCTTATAATTATATTCCTTATAAAAACCTTTTTATAAGTCAATATTTTATGTGTCGAGTTTTTCGATGTCGAAGTTTTTTTCGTGGTCCGTATAGAATAAATATAGTACAATTTACCACAAATAAGTCGAGGTTCTTCTGTTATTTTGGCACCTTCGATCTCGAGACATTTATACATCTTTTCTGGCCGCAAAGACGATTTCCGATCAACTTTAGTGACAGCTGTAAATTACACAGCCGAGTGTTCAAACAGCATTTGTATGCGTTTAAATGTGTGAAAAAATGCTTTAATCATTACTATTTTAAATGCCGTAACGATATTTGAAAGTACATGTAAACCGTAAGAACTATCATTTGAGTTCTTCAGTGAGCCGGGTGTCGCGTGATAATCACCGCGGCGATATTAACTATAAGCGGTTGAGTTATGCCCTTTCGTATTGTTACGCCTTTTGTAACTTCATTGTATACGTCAACAGGGAGTCCAAATCATTAAGAGTGAAAAGTTACTTAACATGTCATATTTATCATTGTATAATATAAAATATCAGATTAATGATTGAAAGAAAACATGAAATAGGTTACGTTATAGATCTTATAATTATGGCTAGTCACGGGTTTGTCATGAAATTCAGACCGATTCATGAGTCGAAGTCCCGATGTGTCAAAGTTTTTACGCAAGTCCCTCCAACTTCGACTTACCGAAGTTCTACTTCTACTGTACTTTCATACATTATATACACGTATTATTGTTTCTGTTTTTACATAGCTGTCTGCCATAATTCATTCATAATAATCAAATACATCAGTATTAGAGACATATTTTTTGAATAAGAAAATTTTATTATACAGTGATTTAACTACAATATTGCAGATATTTCTACTTATCCATCTTATCTTGACTCATCTGTTACACATGCTCCTTATCATTTATTCTTATGTATAATTTTAGTGTTAGCCTGCCCGTGCTATGCCTTGTGCCCTGTCCTGTTTTTGTTTGGGGTCCCCCTGGGCCCGTTGCCACTGGCTCTTGTTACTGGGTCGGGTGGGGGTTGCGTTCATTTAACGCCGCTTTTCCTTGTTGATCTTTTTTATGATATATTATATTTCCTAAATTACCTTTGTTGTCTGACGAAGGGTATTCAGGAGAATATGAGTTTAAGTTTATGTTGACGTCTTATCTGTGATATGCAGCCTCCATAACCTCTGATCCCCTTTCGAAATTCAATTTTATTTGATTCTGTCCATTGTTTTCTCGTTTAAGGCACACGCACCATATGCCGCTTTTCACGGAATGACACTTACGGTAAGTCAGGCCTCGACATTAGCG